ATGCCCTAAAGAGTTGCTATAAACAGCTCAGCTTGGCCCCCGACATCACAAAAAAATCACCCAGGGTATCTGCGGCTCTAGAGCTGGGATCTCAGCGAATATCTTTGGTCCACTGAGAATTGATCCAGTGGGAAGGCAGACCGGACACTGCTCTGGAAGGTTCCAGTGGAGAACACCAGTGTCACCTAGTGGAAGGCGGCGGGGTTGGCAGTCAAGGCACCTGGCTGCCCTGGTCACACCCCCTAGCCCCAAGTGGGCTTGACATAGACAAGCTGGACACTTCATTGGCTTATCCAGAATGGGGACCCCACCTCTCTGCTGTTCTTCCTTTCTCAGGGACCCTGGGAAGGGAGAGGGACTTCCAACTGAGCATGTGACATGGGCTGTCTGATGTCATGTGAGTGTCTAACAAAGACAAACCTCCCAGGACTGCAAAGCACAGGGGAAAAGAATGGTACTTGATGCTGACAACCCCACTCCCCTCATGGGAGGCCAAGGGGCAGATTCTGGTCCCAACCACTCAAAGCCAGGCCACCAGCCTTATCCCAGGGACAATCTTAATTGTGTGTCCTCAGGTGGGACAATCAGCCCTGAGTAACAAGAGCTACCTTCAGGAGGGTTTAGAGCTAAGTATAAAGATAACAGAATCAAAGCCATGATCTTATTTTTTTGTGCCAAAGTCAGGGTAAGTATGCAATTGATTTTAGTGCACAAATACTGGTGAAGAGCATTTGGCCATTCAGAGGGAACAGATAGCTGTGGATCCACTTTCAAGCAGGATGAGAAATTGGTTTAGAAGCATGAGTTCAGCTTGAAGGACTCTGTTAAGTATTGACGAACTTGCAAACAAGCTTTAGCCGGAGACAAGAGGCAACGTCCAGCTCAGCAGATGCTAAAATAGGAGGCCTGTGTCAGGTCCCAGTTCATGAGACCAGTCTGCAAGGTGTCAAAGATTTCACAGAAAAAGTAGAACTGAGGGAGAAGCAATGTTTTATTCTCCTTCCAGGAGAGGGAAAAGGGTCAGATGATAGAACTGTGAGCTCAGAATAAGGTTAGGGTTGGGGTTTACAAGCATTTGAGATGTAGAAGGAATATACCGGTTTTTGGTTGAGCTAGCTGTTCCAGGAAGCAACTGGGGTGGTCAGTTTCTCAGTGTTTTGCCAAGGTGGTTGTTTGTTAGCTTGCAAAATCTTTTCTATGACATCATGAGGTCAAATATGTGGCCGGCAAGATGCAGATAGCGTTCCACTTGAGTTCAGAAAAACAGTTTCTGCAAAACAAAGTAAAACAGCTTCCCTGCCAGACAAAACAGTCCTTTACAAAACGAAGTTGGTTAGGATAGTTTCAGTTGGTGCTTTACACTGGAGAAGCAGGTGGGGTGGGGTGGGGGGCTGCAGAACCACCCACCCAGTAGCTTTGGAGCAGTGCCCAGGACCCCACCCTCCTCTACCCACCAAACTCTGCAGTCAGGAGACCAAGAAGCATTGCCTGGTGAGTCCACCGTGATGGACTAAAATCAATGAAATGGAAAGCCAAAGTAAATCCTCCCTCCTTTAAGTTGGTTCAGGAATTTTGTCACACTACTCCCTCACGTTCACAGCAACGCTGCATGCAATAATCAAAGGTTGGAGAAGCCAGGTGTTCTATCAACATGCAGTGGAATACTATTCAGCCTTCAAATGGAAGGAATTTGAGCTGGTGGAGTTGCTCAAGTGGTAGAGCACCTGCCTGGCAAAATACCAGACCTTAAATTCAATCCCCAATATGGCCAAAAAAAAAAAAGGAATTTTAATATATGCTACTATGTGGAGGAACCTTGAAAACATTATGCTAAGCCAAATAAGTCAGACAGAAATGCACAAATACTGTACGGTTTCACTCACAGCAGGTCCTTAGAGTGGCAGAGTCGGGTGGTGGTTGCTACGGGGGAGGGAGCGTAATCAGTTCTGCGAGATTAGGAGGTTCATGAGTGAAGGTTTGGACGGTTACGTAACAATACGAATGCAATTAATACCACAGGACTGGACACATGAAGATGACTCAAAAGGTGAGTTTATGTTACATATGTCTTTTCTCAATCGATTTTTTTTTTTTGGCAGTACTGGAGCTTGATCCCAGGACCTCACACTAAAGCACTGTGACGTTAGAGTCATCCCCACCCCCCCCACCCCCCCCACCCCCCCACCCCCGTCCTTTTTGCTTTTAGTGTTTTTCAGATAGGGTCTCATGTCTTTCTGGAGACTCATCCTCCAACCTTCACCACCTAAGTAGCTGGAACTATAGACATGAGCTATCACACCTTGTTTGTTTTTGCTTTTGAGATGGCATCTTGCTAGGTAGCATAGGCTGGGCTTGAACTCACCATCCTCCTGCTTCTGCCTCCCAAGAGCTGGAATTACCTGCATGCGCCACCATGCACAGCCCTCTTTCCCTCTAAAAAATTAAATCCTTTAAAATTCCAACTTTTGCAGAAAAAAAAAAAACCACTAGCATGGGAGCCCTTTACATTTGGCAAAGTGTTTTCACACATATAATCGTGAATGTTTCAACAACTGCCCTGTGATGCAGACAAACAGTACCCTTCCTACCCGGAGAGGACACTAAGGTTCAGACAAGGTGGGACTTGGGCAGGATGGCAGGACTGTGTTATACCCAGGTCTTTCTGATTCCTGGACTGGGCCAATTTCCCAAAGAAAGACAAATCCTTAAACCCTCGAGCGCTCTGAAAATGCAAGTTCTTCCCTACATGCTCCCTGTGGGCTTGAGATGAGTCACAAAACTTCAAATGCAACCAGAATTGTTGTCCAAACCCACCCCCCTCATCCATGACTACTGCGCAGAGGTACGTGGGCATGTCCAGGCCCTCATGACCAACTGCCACTGACCAAGTGTCAACAGCTCCTGAAGCACTGCCCGACATGCTTGCATCACAGCGTGCTGTGCCCAGGGCCCTGCTGCCTCAGGCCTCCTCTCCTCCAGGAGCTGCAGAGAATATTTGGCATCCGCGGTCCTGCCTGGATTCACCGCCCCAGGCTTTTGTGCCGTGACTCAGTTTCCTTGCTTGTAGGAAGAGGCCAATAGTGGATCCCCTGACGGTGAGAGTGAGGAGGAGAGTCAAGACAATGTGAGCACTGTGGTTGGCATACAGTAGGTGCTCAATAAGCAACAATCACCATTTTCTGGGCGCTCTGTCTGCATGTGGGCACTGAGCCATCATGGTGTCTACATTGTCTCCTTTCACCTCCTCAGCACTCCCACTACTGCTCAGTATCCCTGTGTCCACGCCAGGAGACAGCCTCAGAGGGCAAAGCCATTTTCTCAAAGTCACAGAGCTGCCAGGGCCTCCCTTAGTGACACACTCATCCTCGCCACCATGGATCAGCTTTTGATTCACAGACATTTTTCCTGTTTAAAAGAAAGTCATTATAGACTCAAAAAACAAAAGAGTGCCATTGCCAAAATATAAGCTGCAAATGCCTATAATCTCAAATACTTAGGAGGTAGAGATCAGAAGGACCGTGGTGTAGGCCATCCTGGGCAAAAAAATGAGTGAGACCCCATCTCAAACAAAAAACGGGGTGTGTTGGTATGTGCCTATCATTCTAGCTATGCTGGAGACCTAAGTAGGTGGATCCAAGTCTAGGCTAGTCTGGGGAGGTGGGTGGGGGGAGTGGGGATGACGTGAGACCCTATCTGAAAAATACTAAATGGAACAGAGCTGGGGATGTGGCTCAGGTGGGAGACCCTAAGTTCAACCCCCAGTATAAAAGTATAAGAGAGAGAAAGAAGGAAGGAGGGAAGGAGGGAATAAAGGAAGGGAGGGAGGAAAGAAAGAAAAGAAAGTTGCAAAGAAAGGGCACAGAAAGGTCCTATGACCCTTTCTCTCAGTTCCCTAACACAATGGTGACATGTCACACATCCATAGCACACTATCCAAATCAAGAAATCTATACAGTGTAGCACAATGCGACATAAGACAATGTGCTACACTGCAGAGTTCACTGGAATTCCCCTGGGTTTTGATCTTTATCACCTGCACAGGTTCATAGACCCATCATGACAATCAAGATAGAGTTTCTATTGCCATAAAAGTGACACCCTGGCACTAATAATTCAGAGTGAGTCCTGTGCTTTCCTAAAATCTGGAAACCTCCCAACTGTGCTTCACATCTACAATTTTGTCATTTCAAGAATTTTTTGAAGATAGAATCTTATTGTATACAACCCTTGAAGGTTGACTTTTTAAAAATTCACTCTACTTAATGTAGATCCATCCAAGTCACCATGTGAATCAATCGTTCTCCCCTTTGTGATTGAGAATCACAGCTCATAATGGAGTCTCCCCCATAGCACCAGGACCCCCTCAATGAGCCTCCAAAGTTAACATGGAGCCCCTCGGGGCAGCAACTTCAGGCTCAACCCCTAGTACCTGTCCCAATGCTTTCTGCAGTGAGTGACCTGGTCACAGCTTCTTCCCCTCTACCCTGTCATCCTCTGACCCTGTCTGACTCCACCATCCTTCCCTGTCCCTTGTAGGACTCACTCTCTGAACCTCACCAGCTCTTTCTCTGGATTCTTGTTTTGGTTAATAGCATTTTTTTGTGTGTGTGGTGGTACTCAAGTTTGAACTCAGGGATTCACTCTTGCTAGGTAGGTGCTCTACCACTTGAGCCACTCCTCCAGCCCTTTTGTGTGTTGGGTATTTTCAAGATAGGGTCTTGCAAATTACTTACCTGGACTGGCTTTGAACTGTGATCCTCCTGATCTCTGCTTCCTGAGTAGCTGGGATTATAGACATGAGCCACCAGTGCCTGGCCACCTTTTGTGTGTGTGTGTGTGTGTGTGTGTGTGTGTGTGTGTGTGTGTTTGGTACTGGGGTTAGAACTCTAGGCCTCATGCTTGCTAAGTAGGTGCTCTACCACTTGAGCCATTCCACCAGCAATAATATTTTTAAAAGTTGAGATATAGCCTTCTCTGGCTCGAGCCTAGGTCACAGCCACATGGCCAAATGCACCAAAAATGTTAGGATCATGGGTAAATACAGAAACCAGCATGGTACCTCGCTCTGGAAAGTGATGAAGCACACAAATCAGCGAGCATATCAAGTATACTTGCTCCTTTTGTGGCAAAACCAAGATGAAGAGATGGATTGTGGGAGTCTGGCACTGTGGTTCCTGCATGAAAACAGTGGCTGGTGGTGCCTGGACCTACAACACCACTTCTGTGGTCACAGCCAAGTCTGCCATCAGAAGACCAAAGGAATTGAAAGAGCAGTAAAAGTTCTACCATTTGAGACATCTCTAGCCTACAATAAAATGAGTTAATGTATATTTTTAAAAGGTTGAGATATATATAACATCAAATTTGCTTTAAAGTAATTTTTAATATAGTCGCTGTGTTGCACAAACATCATCACTACCTAACTCCAGCATACTTCAGTCACCCCCAAAAGAAACCCCGAATCTCTTAGCAGTCACAGCAGGCAGTCCCAATTCCTCCTCCCCATGCCCTGGCCCCACGGCTTCTTTGCTTTCATGTCATGAAGCAGTGAGAGCATTTCTATATGGGCAGGAGATGGGATGGGACATGGTCCTTGGATGCCGGTATAGAGGGGCTAGCCTGGGCTAGTCTAGGCACTGAGCTTTGAATACCTGAAGTGGGAACTCATTCATAGGCCATGGTAGAGGGCTCCATGGTGGAGGGATCCATGGTGGAGGGGCAGGGTTTAGGGAGAAGTCAATGTCAAAGTCTTCTAAGCAGTGATCAACCCAAAGGGGCTGGGCAGAAAGGCAGACTTCAGAAAGAGTAATGTCACTGGGTTCAAGTCAGTGGGTCTAGGGGGCCAAAAAGTTCTTGGTCTTTTCAGAGAGGATGAACACAGAGGAGACCGAAGCAGGAACAGGTTTATTAATACAGAACAAAGCAAAAGCATACCCTCCAGTGAGAGCATGGGCAGCTCAGGAAGGAACCCTTTCATTGGTCTGCAGACAAGGGGGTAGTCAGTCCTGGAAAAATGGGTTAATGTGTTAACTTCCAGAGACTGGGTTATGTGTCACCAACTCCTCCCATATGTTGGGTGTGGAAGTTATTGGCCTGGCTGCTCAGTCTGGAGCTGTCATTTCCTACAGGGTATTGGGACTATTGGAAGACTCTGCAAGACATACAGCAAGACTCTGCTGTATGTCACAAGTCATTCTGCTGTATGTCACAAGTCATTCTTTTAATATCAGCTGTCTAGGGTGTGATTCTTTATCAATGTCCAAGCCATCATTCTCAGCCATCACATTTCATAACTCCCTGCCCAACTCCTTTATCATTCCCCTCTCAAGGAGTAAGGACCTTTACAATCTTACAAGGGAGGGGAAAATTGTAGATCTTGTTTCTAGGAACTACTTCCTGCTGAACAGGAACATTGGCCCTACCTTTGGATCCATCGTTTCTCCTTGTTGTCTCTTTGGGGTGATGGCTGAGACTGTGGTGGTGGCCACCTGCTTTAGTGCGCCTGGCTGTTGATGACATTCATCATGTGATTTTGACTGAAAGCCCTGGCATATGTCCTTTGTAAGGGAAACTCTGGAAGCCCACCATGTGGATGTGTGAGTTGTCACTGTGGTCACCCCACCCATTGTAAGAAAAGTTTCCCTGAATGTGGCTGGCAGTGGGGATCGGTCTTTTGGGGATTGATCCCCATCCCCTCTCCTTTAGATATACTCATGTATCCTCTAGATGCTTTTCTAAATCAAGGTCCAGAGCCATCATCCATGGCAGATGGCAGGATTATGTGGGTAACCTTGGGAGGGTGCTTGAAGGTCCATTGCTTGTCCTTTCCAGGTGAGTGTCAACTGTTCCTGGGACTCATTGACTAAAAGGATACTAAAGAAAGCATTAGCATATCCAAAAAGGGAAGATGCCATTTAGCACAACAGTGTCAGTGGCTTTTGCCCTGGCATCTATGACTATTTTTTAGCCACAGGTTTTAGTCCTGCCTACAGTACCAAACATGGGCCCCCTCCCATGGGACAGGCCTAACATCGAATCACAATGTGGTTGGTTGCTTCCATAATAGTAGGGCCACTATTGCACCCTGGGCACATCCTGCAGGGCATGCTAGTAGTGAAACACATGGGGCCTGTGTGTTGGGGCAGGACCATTGGTGACAACTGTCCCCTGGAAGCCTACACAATGCCCTCCAGAACTATGAATGCTAGCCAGGAGGGAGGAAGCTTCTGGTTCCAATCCTAGCTTGATGTCTCCATTTCCTGTAAGCAGAGTATGTGGTGTCTTTAGCAATAGGGACTTCATGCAACCAACTGCTGTGGCCATGGCCTGTATGGCGTGGGGACCTCAGGGTCAACAACTCCAGGGAGGTAGCCCACCCCTGGCATATTTGTTTTACAATCTTATGGCTTTTGGAAGCACTCCTTTTAACCCATGTAGGGTGTCTCTATTTAAATTCTTTACCTAGGGTTTTAGGAATACATGCCATGATTTTTGTAGCCAATTGTGTGTACATGTTGTACTGGGATTTGAGCTCAGGGCTACATGCTTACTAGGCAGTCACTCTACCATTTGGGCCATGCTCCCCCAGCCCTTTTTGCTCTTGTCATTTTTCAGATACGGTCTCCACATCTTAAGAATTTACCTTGAGGTGGGGGGTGGGGAGATGAAAATTTGGGGACAATTCTAAGATGGAACCTAGGGCCTTGTGCATGCTAGGCAAGTGCTCTACCACTAAGCCACACTCCAACCTTATCAATCTCTTCTAGTCACCAATCCAGAAAAGTCATGGCATCATTGGCATGGTGTTGGAGGGGGGTGTGGAAGAATACAAAATATTGCCTGGTTACTATTCAAAATTTATTCTTCAAAAATTACAGAACAAGAGTGGTCTTTTGTGTTCACCTTTACACTGCAGATTTTAAAACTTCAATAGGAAACCAAGACCTTATCTGCCCAACAATCCCGCTACAGGGAACAGCACTCACTGGCCAGACCCTGCCCCCTCCCCTGCCTCTAAATGCCCACAGCTGGCACATGGAGGAAAGCTGTTGTGACATCTGGACAGATGTGACTTCCATCATCCCATACCTCCTTTTATCCTTCAGTGTCTCTTTGAGCATTTCACCAAAGGCTTTGATCACTCCAAGAGGACCACAACCAGAGAACAAAGAAATTTTTGACTTTCATGTTCAATGCCATAGCCAGGCTGTGAGATTTGGAATTATTTGGAAAAATAACTAAGCACACATAGGGAGGAGGAAGTTTCTAATGCCACTAATTAAAGACCAATGGAAAAGCTGGCAATTCAGTGGACAACAGTAGGAGGGGGAGCTTAGGCTGGGCCCAGGATGGACAGTGTGACTAGAGGCAACAGTGCTGTGTTTGGGTAACACAGCACTGAGTGTGCTCCCCAAGGGTTCGTGTTGTAAGTCTAGTCCTCAGTGTGGGAGGTGGTGGAACCTTTAAGAGGTGGGGCCTAGTGGGAAGTCAAAAGAATGGTTCCTCCCTGTGCTCTGGCTTCCTGTGGCTCCATGGGACCTCTCTCTCACATGGCACATTTGCCATGAGGTGATGCAGTAGAGGGCTCCCTCACCAGAACCCACACTATGCTGTTTGGATTTTTAGCATCCAAAACTATAAACTAAACAAATTTCTTTATAACTTACCCAGCCTCAAATATTTCATTAAAGTAACAGAAAACAGACTACTACAGTGAAAGAAAGATGCCCCAGAGCCAGGAGACACTGGTAGGCGGCAGCGGCATTAATAGCACAAGGAAGGATGGAGATGGAGGGACAAGGTACGTGGATTAGCAGCCCGAGCTTTCAGTCATGGACACACACACCCCAGCTCCCGCATGGAGGATGAGTCAGGCAACCCTGAGGACTGCCTTCACGGGCAAAGATGGTCCAGTAGGGAAATCCAAGAAATCAAGTTCACTTCACCTGAGGAAGGCCCAAGGGGCAGAGGACAGGAATGCTGGCAAAACACAAATGAGGCCTCTTAAATCTGTGGGTCTGGGACAGCCTACCCCCAACCCAAACCAGCTCCGCACTCCAGTTACTGCCTTCCTCCCAGACAAAAGAAAGAAGACTCCACTTGGAGAGACAGCACTCCCAAATGACCACTCGGGCTCATGGCTACCAGCCCCTTTGCCAGCATTGAGCTGCAAGCCCCTAAGAGCTGCTAAGCAGAATTAGGCAGAAGTCTCTCGGGACACACAGCACAGCCCTGTAGATGGACACACAGACACAGCTCATAGCACATGGTACTCTTTATTGTGACGCTCAGTGGAAACACCTGTAAACCAGCTTACTGTAGTGGTGACAGCTGCAACCCATGCTAAGGCACTTTTATTATAGAAAAGGGGATGGGGAGTTCCATTCACTCCTGTGACAGCAACTGGAACCTGAATTCAGAGCTTTTTAGGCGCATGTAGCTTTTATATAGCTTCATGATTCATTGAGTTTGTTTCTGTTTAAAAAAATGCCTTCTTGCTATAAGTAAGTCTAAATGCAGCATATACAAAACAGTTAGGAGTAGAAATTCAGCAACCAGTGTGGACCAGTGTAGGACAAGCCACTTTTCTAAACACGGTTCCAAAGGAAAGGCAGTGATAAAGACTCAGAACTGCATCATTTATTACAAGAAAAGGGAATAAGAAGAAAACATTTTTTTCTTTCAAAAATATCTGTGCAGGCAGCAGATTTTAAAGTATACTGAGTCACCAGTGCAGATCAGCTGCCCCTGGCCCCAGGCCTAGAGGAGGCACAAGATCGCAAGGAGGGCCACCAGCCCTCTGATGCTCTGGCTGCCAGACTTGGGACAAGTCCCTTAACCATTAAATACGTTTGGTCCCCGAGAGTGTTGGGAGAAGCAACCGGAAGACTGCTGGCCTTCCCAGCATGGCCCCAACGGCCTCACTGTAGTAGGGCAGGGTGGGGCAGGCTGCCCTCGGCAAGCAGGGGAGGAGGCATTGCACTTGAGATATTTTAGAATCAGGAAGGGGCAATGGTGCTGCCCAGAGAGGGTGGGAGGAATTCCCTGTTCACCCAGTGTTCTGTGCCCTGCACAGAGATGGAGCCCTGAACCTGCTCCTTCCAGACCACGCAGAGTCCAGGGGAGTGGGGGGCAGTGGGGCATAGGTGTGAGGTCACCGTGTGTGATTGCCAACAGCAGAGGAGGGAGGAGGAGGGAAGAGCTGGTGGCAGATGTGGGGGAAGGTGACGACACTTCTGGGGGTTTGGGCTATCAAAACTCCTTCAGTCTGAAGAAAAATAGATTTATAGAAAAGTCTCATGCCCACCCCAGTGGCCGCCCTTCTTGCCCCACCACCTGTTTTAGGCAAGATGGGCGAGCCCCTGCTGGTCACTCTTTCCCCGGGCCTGGACCCGGCCTGGACTCTTTGGTATCACTTCTCAGAGGGTAGGAGGGGAGCTGGAGGGGCTGCACAGGGAAGCCAATGCCCTCAACAAGGCGTGGGGGAGGTGGGGAGATCATGGTCACAGCAGTTGTGAGGCAGAGGTGCTGTGGGGGCTAGGAAGGGAGGTGGAGTTGTCTGTCCATCCATCTTAGCCTATTCGGCAGGCTTGGCCTCAGCCCCATCTGCTTTGCCATCCACCTCCTCGTCGGAGCAGTCACCAGTGCCCTTTCGGGCCATTCGTCGTGGCACAACAAACGGCAAGTCCCCACGCCTGTGAACAGAGGCAGAGGGTCAGCAGGGCCCAGCTGAGAGGCAGAGAAGTCCAGTGCGTATTTCTAGGTGATCTTCACATGGAAACCAGGTTGGTTTCTTTTTGACTGCCCTCACCAGAGAGAAGAAATGCTGGGTCTCAAGAGCCCTGGCTCTGGACAGACAGGAGGACTCAGGAAGAAAGTGATCACAGTGATCTGCAACAGGTACAAATCAGCCAGCCATCTTAATATGGAACATGAGCGTAAGACACAAGTCAGGAAAACCGGATGAATGAAAGGAGGGGGTTGGGGGAAGTGGTTTGGTGGAGACAGCTTGCCTAGCACCCTCAAGGGGCTGGGTTCCATTCTCAGCACCGTAAAACAAGAAAACCAGGTGGATCCAAGAGATACAGGAACGACTGTTTACCCAGGGCACAAACATGGGCACCTTCTTCTGATCATGTAAGACTTATATGAAATGCTGTGACAAAGCCTGGTCTTATGGCTTTAAAAAAAAAAAAAAAAAAAAGATCCTGGCAAGGAGGGAAGAGATGGGGGCAAGGAGGGAAGAGATGGGAACCAGGAGAAGACCCTCAGCCACAACCACTTGCTGCTTTGTTTGGGGTTGTTTGTTTTGTTTTTGGAGATAGAATCCCCCTGTGTAGGCCATGCTGGCCTCAAACTTGAGATCCTTCTGCCCCTACTTTCAGAGTGCTGGAATTACAGCCATGTACCACCACGCCAGCTCACTTCATATTCTTGAATGCTAATCTTCCAAGGTTCACGTGTTGAACAGTGACACTGACATTTACTCTACAGGTGCTTCGTAGGTGCCTAAGACATGTAGGGATTCAGGCCAGGTGGCCAACAGCAACTTCTAATTTAAAAATTCCAGCATGGTAATGTCCTCATCAAGATGGCTGACTTTTAAACCAGGTTAGGGTCTATTTGCCAGTAGTTTTTGGTGTGTTCGTGAGGCTGGGCTAAGACCCAAGAGACAAGGAGACCTGTGAAGAGCACAGATCACTCTGTGATGGGCACCTTCTGGGTTTGTCTCTAAGCCCCTTCACCTTGCCATCACTGATTGAGAAACGTGCCTCTCAGAACAAACCAACTTTGGAAAGGAGGAGGAATGTGGGAAGAAGGGTTAGGGCTTACCTCAGCTTGTTCTTCAGGGAGCTAACCTCGCGGTTCATGGCATCCGCAGTCTCCGTGGCATCCTCCAACTCACGCTGCAGCTTCCGGCGTGAGGCATTGGCCCGCTGAGCCTCCTCCTCAGCCTCCTCCAGCTGCCGCTTAAGTTGCTTCAGCCGGGTGGATGCCTTGTCAGCCTATAGACATGCATAGCCAGGGGCCCTGGTTAGCTGATTAGGAGCTCTGGGCATGCAGGCCACCTGGTCCCATGGCTCTGCTTGCACACAAACCTGGTCCTTGTACTGCTCCGCGTTCCTCCGCTCATCATCCACCTGCAGCAACACATCCTTCAGCTTCTTCTCCGCCCGGCGCACCTGCTTGCAGGCTGCCTGGCGCTCCCTGGATGGGACAGAAATGGCAGCTCAGAAGGGACACTGTCCATGAGGCAGTACAACCAATAAACCAGCTGAACCACCCACTTCCTGGACCTCACTGATATTTACCCCCAGAGAGACTTTGAGGCTAAGGTGCCTTTCTTTCCTGGACACATAACAGGTCTTGGTCTCAGGCTGAGTACTGTGATTACCCCAATTACAGATGAGAAAACTGGGTTCAGTGAAGAAGCAACACACCTCAAAGAGCACATATGTAGCCAGGAAATTGAGGCTTGGGGCCCAGTGTGACCCCCACTATCTCTGGCTCAGCCCATGGATGGCTGCCCAGGTGGGCAGGACCCCCCCTCCCCCGCCACCTCTCTCTACTCAGGAATAGCTACTGGCAAAACCCCAGCTTTAAATGTGGGCCATAGGCTCCTATTCAAACCCCATAAGCCCCCAGGACGGCAAGATGGCCTCTGGGACCCAGAAACAAGAGCTGGTTCCAACCTAGCCCCTAGTTATTCCCAGGGGCAGACAGAAAGGACACCATTGTGTGCCTGCCCGCTTGGGCAGGGTAGGAATACGAACTTGGTCTCGTTGTCCAGTTGTTCCTCCAGCTGTGCAATCTTGGCCTCGAGGGCGGTAATGGAGGCCTTATACTTGGACTTGACAGTGCCCTCCATCTCCTGAAGCTTGACCTTGAGCTCCTTATTCTGGCGCTCCAGCTGCTGTCGTGCGTTCTCATTCTTCTGGGCATGACTGCGTTCCAGGTTCAGGTCGGTGTTGATCTGGTCGATCTGAAGGAAAGAGGACTGGTGATCCTTACGAAGTCTGACCCCAGATGCAGGGCACTAATGGAATGGGTGAAGGAAGATGGTAGCAGGATTCCATCGGGCCCTGGGTTCCAAGATCTCAGCTCTCCTGGGAAGGGAGCTACTCATGAAGAGGGTCCAGAAACTTCCTGACACGCAACAAAGAAACCAGGGGGAGCCCCTTCCAGGTACCAGGGCATTCTCCCAGAAGTAGTCAGAGAGCAGTGGGAACAGTGGGCACTTGGCCTGGGCCTCTGCCAGCAGCTGTCTGCTTCCCCATGGGAAGCTCAGGCCCCTACCTGCAGGTTGGCCTTCTTCAGTCGGTCATTGAGCAGCTCCGTGTTGCCCTGTTCTTCCTCTAGCTCCTCTTCCAGCTGGGCGATGCGGGCCTCCAGTCGCCGCTTCTCCTCCACAGCCAGAGCTCTGCGGAGGGTGGGAGAAGTGAGACCTGTGGGGTAGGGCGGGGGACACCATCCCAGCCTCCTTCACCTCCTTCCTTGGCTCACCCTTTGCCACTGCTGTTGGCGATCTCATCGGCCAGCTCATCCCGCTCCTGCTGGGCCTGGCGCTTAGCACGCTCAGCAGCCGCCAGTTCCTGCCATGAGAATTTGAATGTGACCCACCTGGGACATGCCAGCCTTCATTCCCAGCACTCCACATACAATCTTCCGGAGCCCCTGGCACTCTCCTCTCCTCTTCCACAAAGTCCTTTCCCATGAGTCCCTCTAGCTCACAGGGCTGACTCCTCCCTCTGAGGTCAT